TGTAGATTAGCACATTGGGCAGAGGTGCTCAGAGTTATGTCTACGTAGCCCAGGCAAGGGGGCGGTTGAGGCATCTGGTGATGTCCTCATAGACACGCTTTTATTATGCCATCAGCCTGCTTCAGTATTATTTGATTGCGAGTCCACATTCTCGTATGTATCTATTTATTTTTCTCCCCGATTGGGATGAAGTTTGAGTCTTTTGCAGAGCCAGTTCATGTTTCAACCCCGGTGGGTGAGTCCTTAGTAGTGGATCAGGTATTATGATCTTGCTAGTGACTATCCAGGGTTATGATACTAGATCTGATCTTAGTATGCTAGATATGGTTGGTTTTGTCTTGATTCTAGGCATGCACTAGTTATCGCCTTACCACGTGGTCTTGCATTACTAAGCCAAGATCGTTACCTTATCCATGTCCGGCGTTCCCCTGGTGTTGTGGTAAAGTGCTTATAGTCACACATTTATGGGGATCATCTTTTTATGCGGGTTAGGTGGTTGGTTGCTTCTGGGTGTTTGGCTTATTTGGCCTACGTGAGAGATGTGAGTAGGGGTCCCTCTTTCAATTGACTCAGTTCCTACGGTTATAGAATATGCAAATTTGTTCCCTACAGATCTACCTGGTCTACACCCAGAGCGTGACATTGATTTTGGCATAGATTTGGAGCCCGACACCCGTCCTATTTTTATTTTGCCTTATCGAATGGCTCCTCCAGAGCTTAGTGTTCATTTAGAGGACCTGTTAGGTACAGGGTTCATCCGTCCTTGTGTTCTGCCTTGGGTTGCTCTTGTTCAGTTTGTGAAAAAAAATGGGACTATGAGGATGTCATTGACTACATGCAGCTGAACAAGGTGAAAATGAAGAATTGTTACCAAATGCCTCGTATTGATGACTTGTTTTATCAGCATCAGTGTGACATCGTATTTTCTAAGATTTATTTGAGGTTCGGGTACCATCAGCTAAGGATTAGGGCAGCGAACATCTCTAAGACCGCATTTAGGACTCGTTACGCCATTATGAGTTCCTTATAATGTCTTTTGGGTTGACTAATGCCCCAGCCACCTTCGTGGACTTGATGACAAATGTGTTTAGGCCATACCTTGATTAATTTGTTATCATTTTCATTTATGAGATACTCGTATACTCACAGAGCCGGAGTGAACATGAGCAGCATTTGAGGATAGTGGTCCAAACTTTGAGAGATCAGCAAATTTATGCTTGAGTCTGTAGCATTCTTGGGGAACGTGGTGTCCAAGTAGAGTATTAGGGTTAATCCGGCGAAGATTGAGGCTATTCATGATAGGGACAGACCCGCTACTGTTACTTAGGTTTGTAGATTCGTCGAGTTAGCGAGTTACTAACAAACACTTTCTTGAGGGCTTTTCTACTATTTCAGCTTCTTTGACTCGGTTGACCCGCCAGGATGTTCCCATTGTGTGGTGAGAGGAGTGTCAAATGCATTTTCGGATGCTTAAGGAGTTGCTTACTACCGCTCTAATATTGACTATTTCGGTTGAGGGCTAAGGCTTCACGATTTATTGTGATGCATCCGGAGTTGGTTTGGGTTGTTTATTGATGTAGGAGGGTCAGGTTATTGCTTATGCATCGAGGCAGCTTAAGGTCCATGAGTGTAACTACCCCACTCATGACTTAGAGTTGGCGGCGATATGTTCCACGCTTATTATTTGGAGGCACTACTTGTATGGAGTTCGATAAGATATCTATACCAATCACAAGAGTCTTCAATACATCATTAGCCAGAGTGACCTTAATTCGAGTATACGTCATTGGATTGAGCTCCTAAAGGACTACAACCTCTCTATTCTCTATCATCCGGGCAAAGCGAATGTGGTAGCGGACACCTTGAGCCGAAAGACGGTGAGTATGGGTAGTCTAGCTTTCTTGTTTGTTGAGAAAAGATCCTTGGATTTGGACATTTAGTTCTTATCCAATAGCATGGTTCAGTTAGATATCTCAAATTCTAGACGTGTCTTCGCTTATATGGGAGTTCAATTTTCTTTATATGATAGGATTCGTGGTTGTCAGTTTGAGGATGAGGCCTTGATGGACCATTGGACCTTAGAGAGCGGGTGTTGATGGGTGATGGTGGTCAGTCAACCTTAGATACTGCTGGAGTATTGAGATTAACCGGTCGCATCTGTGTTCTGAGAGTTGGGGATTTGATACATTGGTACTTCCCAAAGCCCATGGGTCTAGATATTATATATATCTGGGCACAACGAAGATGTATAGTGATTTGAGGCAGCATTACTGGTGGAGTGGCATGATATCAGATATTGCTCACTTTGTTTGCCATTGCTTGTGCTCCCAGCAGGTAAATGCCGAGTATTTGAGGTCTGGTGGTCAGTTTCAAAGATTGCTCATTTCGGAGTGGAAATGGGACTATTACTATGGATTTTGTGGCTGGCCTTCCATATAGTTCTAGAGGATTTGATACCATTTGGGTCGTAGTTGATCGATTGACCAAGTCAGCATATTTCATTCCCGTTCAGTCTTTATTTAGTGCCTAGAGGTTGGCTCGTATCTATATTTGGGATATGGTTCAGCTTCATGGGGTGCCAATTTCTATTATATCATATTTGAGTTGTCAGTTCACGTCTACCTTTTGAATGACCTTTCAGGATGATTTGGGAACTCGGGTTGACCTAAGTACAACTTTCCACTCGCAGACTAATGGTCAGTCAGAGCGTACTATTTAGGTCCTTGACGACATGCTACGAGCTTGTGTTTTGGAGTATGGTGGCCATTGGGACCAGTTCTTGCCTTTGGCAGAGTTTGCATATAACAACTGCTATTCTAGCATTCAGATGGCCCGTTCGAGGCCTTGTATGGTAGGTCTAGTAACTCTTCGGTGGGCTAGTTTGAGTCTACAGATCTAGGCCGCGGGGTACGAATTTTATTCAGGAGGCTTTGGATCAGGTAAGAGTGATTCAGGATAGACTCAAAAATAGCTATGAGTAGGCACCAAAGTTATGTGGATCAGAGGCGTCGACCTCTGAGATTCTCTGTTAGTGATCGGGTATTTCTCCATGTGTCCCCATGAAGGGTATGATGAGGTTTGGAAGGAGGGGCAAGCTTAGCCCCAGGTACATTGGTCCTTTTCAGATACTTAAGACAGCTTGGGAGGTTTCTTATGAGTTGGCCCTATCTCCAACATTTTCAGCCATCCATCCGATGTTCCATGTTTCAATGTTATGTCGGTATATTCCTGATGAGTCTCGTGTGCTCCAATATGACTCAATTGAGTTGGATGATCATTTGACCTTTATAGAGGAACCAATTGACATTTTATCCAACGATGTAAGACAATTTTGATAAAGAGTCATTCCTATTGTTAAGGTCCATTGGAGGTATCGTCCAGCCAAGGAGGCTACCTGGGAGACAGAGCAAGAGATGCGAGAGCAATTCCCTAGCTTATTTGAGCTCTCACGTACATCCTTATCCCTACTTTCGCGGATGAAAGTCCTTTTTTAGTAGTGGATATTGTAATGACCCTCTTGGTCATTTTTGTGTTTTGTCTTTTGTGCATCATTAAAAGCGTTCCTGTAGTGACCCCAAGTCGTTTATGACTTGCTAAGACTAATAGTTCAGTCACCTGGTCGTTCGTTTGGTTATTGTGCAAGTATTAGTATTTTTGGAGCTTATGAATCTTGAACGATCATTTTCGATCAAAAGTTTAAGAATATTACATCAGAATCAAATTTTAACAATTCTATCAGCTCTGGATGGGTTAGTTTAGCTAGTAGCAAGGTCAGCATGAGTCCCGAGTATTAGTGTGAGTTGGTGAGGTTAGTCGTTTTAACTTTAAATTTACGCCTAAGTTTGACTTTAGTCAACATTCTAAGTAAACGTTCTCAAATGAGAATTCCCTCAATGTACTTAGCTTCTAAATGTCAAGTTTGGTGTAGTTTGACCCTTCTTTTGTGTTCTGAGGTTTCCCATATTATTCTGAGCCTTTTGTGGTTTTGACTTAAAATGACCTATGGAAATGGGACCCACTTTTTGTCAAGATGACCTCTAATTGAAATTTTGATTATGACGTTGAGTCCGAAGTGTCGAATTTAGTAGGGTAGCATATCTTTTTTATTTTTATCGGGTTCCAAATAAGTTCTTAGCACCCCGTCGAAGTTTTTAAGTTTTCGGAAAAAAGTGCAGAAAATTTTGTTATACATTATAGAAAAATATCCACATTTTGAAAATCTTTAAAACCTCTTAGCTCTATCTACCCTCAAACCCATTACCTGAGGTTACGTGTTGGCTTACATACTGGTAGGTTATAGTAGGTGCCATCATGACTCGAGAAATCGGGTCGTGACAGGCACACTAGCAGTATGAGGTTTCTATTTGAAATTTTCATATCCTATAACTATGTGCCCCCATAGGTATTAGATAGTTGGTTCACATAGAAGTTATTATGAACAAACTACCTTGGGAAAGTAGGACTCTCTCTTTTCGGTGTAAGAGTAAAATAGTGGATTCCATGTAGTTCATATAGTCTATGTCGGTTGAGGCCATTATCCCTAAATGATACGAATATGAGCTAAGATAAGAAAATGGACTATAATTGTGACTTCTTAAGAGGTACTACTTAGTATGAGTGAGGGTATAAGGCTTCACCTATACATTGCACAAGTGGACCTTAAGAGGGTTTATGGTTAGGTCTTCTTATGTCATGAACATTCATGAATTACGTATGTGTGATATGAATATTAACCATGATTATGAATATGAACTCTAAGTAGGTCTTCATAAGGGGTATCACTTAGTTTAGGTGGGGGTATAAGACTTCACCTATACACTGCACAAGTGGCTCTAAGAGAGGTTCTTGTGAGAGTCCCTGTCACGACCCAATTTCTCGAGCCATGAAGGCACCTACTATAACCCATCAGTAGGTAAGCCAAACCACAACCCAGAACCACACATACTGGGTGTGAGGGTAGAAGAAACTAAACAAGACTAAGAAAAATTACTATAACAACATAAGCAAACCAAAACATAAATACAATAAAGGATCCCTCCCAGAACCTGGAAGTCACTAATACAGAGCTACCAACAAAACGAGTACAAGTCCCAACAGTGGACCACCAAAACTAGACTGTCTCGAAAAGTAAAAGACAAGTCTTTATATAAATAGATGGAGACTGAAATAGTACAAAACGCTGTGTGCTCACTCCTGTCTCCAGACCAGAAATTCCCCAAACTCGATCAACGCTGACTACCGGTGCTCGGACCTGCATCACGAAAATAGATGCAGAGCGTAGCATGAGTACCAAAAAAATAGGTACCCAGTAGGCATCATAGGCCGACTGAACTAGAAAAGTAAAGCACTATGAAAAGACGGAATCACAAAACTAGAGGTAAAAAATAGAAGGCTAAGTAACACAATAATGCACACGAGTGTATAAAAATCTAACTAAATTAATATAAATAAGCTAACTACACCTAACTGGACCCACCATAAGCCCAGAAGGTACACTCGTGCACAAGTTTAAATAAAAACCCGAACGGACCCCCATAAGCCCGACGAGTATACAAAATAACTATAACTTAAGGAGAATAAAACTCGAGGCCAAAGAATACCGAACCAAAAAGTAAAATCTGACGGTACGGAGGTCGGGCCTTGAACCGGAAACTCACCAGAATTACACAAGTAGCCAATTGCAAAATATAAGTAACTGAGGCCGGACCTCTAACCGGATGCTCTACATACTTGTGGCCGGACCTCTAACCGGATGCTCTACATAAGTATGTGGATGTTCGAGGCCGGAACTTAAATTCGGATACCCGACAAAGATGTCGATATAGCTGCTAAAAGAGTCTCTATCTATCCATAATCATATAAACCCGTGGAACACCATCCAGACTTAGCTAATCAATGTAAGTCCTTAAAGCTGAATCGAACTCAACTTTGAATCACGGAGCAAAAATCATTGTCACTGACGTAACTCAAGAAGCCGTAACATCGAAGAAATAAGAGTAACTATCGCTAGAGCAAGCTCATCGTCTTTCTAAATACCCAACTATCAGACTCAAGTCTGCTACATCAGTCTACAAGGATTTAAGCCGGTCGAGCGACGTCGGGGCTAAACTAAGTCCTACCGACTTTGAATCATGCATTTCTAAGGAAAACCCTAGTCAAACCTAAACTAAGGCCCAACATACTTCTGACAACCAGTATTCAAACATACAAATAATTCATATAGCAAAGAAGGTTAATTAATAACAATAAACATGCTCACAGTTACCCGATAATTCTCAGAAAAAGGGCGAAAATATGATTCTTAACACCTATGGATGATCCAATAACTACCCAACCCAAATCCCAACTAATCAACATGCATTCACATGTTCGAGTTCAATCTAAGAAGAGAAACCATAGCCTACCTGAACGCAGATCACGCGCGCTCCAAAATTCACTCCCCGGATCTTTTACTTTCTAAAAGGCCACGAAACATTGATACACTATCAGAAATAGAGTCACAAAGTTATTACAGTCATTTAAACACTAAAATCGCAAGAAACGGAGATGGGTCAATTTCACGGTCAAAATGAAAAAAGTGGGATCCGCGTTGAGAAATCCCGAATTAACCCCAAATAAAAGTCCTAAATAACTCTCGAAACTTGTATACCAGAATGGAGCACAATTCAGGACTCAAAACAGTCCCAACATGAACATGCAACAAAAGAACCCAAATTTTAAGCTAAAAATCAGCAACTATGGCAGCAGCTACTTACAAGATTTTACCAAAAATGAAGCTCCAACAGCCAAAACCAACCATACCACGACGATCCTCACGAAAAACCCCACAATATAGGCTCTTGAATCACTTGATTCGGACCTAAAATGGCCAAGAAATCACCTTCTAAAATTTCCCAAAACTTGTGCTCGAAAATGAGCTATGACAGCAGTTAAAACCCAAAATTTACCTCAAATCGGGTCCCCAAATCAGACTCCAAGCTCACCAATGCGTTTCCCTCGAAACATCTCACAACTTAGCCTTTTGAATCGCCCAATTTGGAGTTGTATAGCTCAAGATATCAAGATTCCAAAGTAAAATACAAAGCTGAAAGTTGGGTTTTTATAGGGGCTGCACCAGATTCAGCTTTGCCTACTTTCTTTAAAGTCTCCGACGGGTGCTCGGAATCCGTTCGAAACCTGATAAAAATAAAATAGATATGCTACCCTACCAAAGTCGACATTCCGGACTCAAAGGTGCAGTCGAAATTTTCATCAGAGGTCATCTCGATAAAATGTGGGTCCCACTTCCATTGGCCATTTTAAGTCAAAAACCACAAAAGGGCTCGGAAAAATATCAAAAACCTCAAAACCCGAAAGAAGGGTCAAACTAGACCAAACTCGACATTCTGGAGCTAACCACGCTGACGGAATTCTCATCCGAGCGCGTTTACTCAGAATGTTGACTAAAGTCAAACTTAGCCTTTAAACTTAAAGTTAAAACGCCTAATCCCACCAACTCACACTGAAAATTTTGGGAGTCATGTCGACAATGCTACTAGACTAAAAGGACCCTTCCGGAACTGATGGAATCATCAGAATTGGATTCTGATGTCATCTTCTTGAACTTTTGATCGAAAATGATCGTTCAAGGTTCATAAGCTCCAAAAATACTAAAACTCACACAATAACCAAACGAATGGCCAGGTGACCGATATGTCAGTCCCAGCAAGTCATAAATGACTTGGAATCGCTATAGGAACGCTCTAAACGATGTACAAAAGATAAAACACTAAAAATGACAATAAGGGTCATTACAGTCCCTTATGTAGGTTATTAAGTACGAAGTAAAGATGACTTAATGTACTATGAATTATTAATATGCTTGGAATTACACTTGTGACTTCTTGAAGGGTATGCTTAGTATATGTGGGGTATGAGACTTCATATGTACATTGCACAAGTGAACTTGTGAATGGGCTATGGAGGAGTGGTTTACTTCTGATATGTATTATATGAAATATGACCAAGATGTATGGACTATGGACATGACACATGAACTATGAATATTGACTTCTTAAGAGGACCTACATTGAGTGAGGTCTGCTGTAATTTTAATGGAATACAACCACTTACTTCAAATGAGAAATCCATCTATTGGTTTATCACCAAATTTCCAAGTAGAATTTGCATTCTATGCGTGAAGCTATTTTGACATTGCCTCTTTCCTACAAATTTGTGTAAAATTCTGAGAGTAAGACTTACAAAATTTCCCTAGAGAGTAGCCGAGTTGTTCAGGAGCATGATGATTTGTCCAATTATATCGGCGTAGAGAGGTAACTGGATGAGACGATTCCTCTTCGAAGATAAAGATGTGTATGTAGAGTCAATAACCAAAGAATAGGACAACTGAATATCATCATGATCATAGTTAATGGGCTTCTCCAGAGGATCAATAGCTACCACATCATCATCAAAATTATACAAAAAGAAAACAGATTCTAAAACATGTTTAGAAATGTATTTGTAAGAAAATTGACCCTAAAAATAACATGTCATCAAGCTGTAAATGTGATACATCATAACATAGATACCCATTTCGTGCATCACTGTAGGTCTGTACCCCACAAAAATACATTATGTTACCTTTGCTGAAATTTTTTGTCATTTATATGCTGGAAGATGGACAAAGCAAACATAACCAAAACCTCGCAAGTTAGAATAATAAAGCTTCTTATGAAATAGTTTGAAGTGTGGTGTCTCACTAGCAATGATTGGGAAAGTTTTTATATTAATCAAATTTGCATAAGTATGTACAGCTTCAGGCCAGAAATTCTTAGGCATATTAGATGTTCCCAACAAAGCCTGTGTAGTTTCCAAAACATGTCAATTTTTCCTTTTTACAACTCCATTTTGTTCTGGAGTATGAGGACAAGTACATTAATAAATAATTCTTTTTTTTTCAAAAACTCAACAAACTAAGTCTTTAGTGTACTCTCCACAAGAATCAGAACAAAATATTCTTACAATTTTATGGAACTCTGTACACACATACTTAAAAAATTCATAATAAGAGTAGAAAACTCAGATTTACTACGAAAAAAAACTCATATGTATCAAGATACATGATCACTAAATATGACAAATTACTTATGTCCCATCCTTGACAAAGTAGTAGAAGATCCCTAAACATCACTATGCACCAAGTCATATAGATTGTTATAAGAAGATGAACAGGATGGAAAACGGAGCTTGTGACTTTTCAAACCGGCACAATTAGAACATGTCATAGACTTGAATGAATGGCATATGTTGCTGAAATATATGATTCAAAATGTGCTAAAGTCGAGAGGAATGAGGATGACCCGTCCTATTATGCCAAAGAGTTATCAACTTATTCGAGTGAGTAACATCTGTGGCAGAAATTGAAAGAAAATAATGATGCAAATGGTGATGAACGGACTCTAGAATAAACATTCTGCCAACTTTATTCCCCTTGGCCATGGTCACCCAGGTTTGCAGATTATGAACAACACAATCATTGGGTGAGAATTCTACAACAGAATTTTGATTAACTAGCTACCTACTTGTAACACCCCAGATTTTTTTGAACTAAAACTTTAACCATTCATCATAGTGAGTGATATTTTTGCAAGGAATTTAAAATCTTGAGTTTTAAGGTTACTAGATGTAGTAGTACCTTATTTCAAGAGAAACCAAAAAGAGAAGCATTCAAGTCATTCCTACGTTTTCTTAAGTTTTAGGCCAACTTCCAACGACCATAACTGCTATCAAAGGATAAGTTATGTGTGATACAAGATACCTCTGGAATGATCTTTGAATTATCTTTCCAACTCCGTCAAGTTTTCTAATTCCGAGTTCGGATGAGTGAGACATGACCTTTTGAACTCAGGTTGTCAAGTTAAGGAAAGTTAGCCGAAAATAGTGAGGGTATTATGGCATTTTCCTTACCCAATCAGATCAAATTCATTTATAGTAATATTTTAGGGGTTTAATCCTATTAGGTTCAGATTTATAATCCTAATATACGCCCAGGGTTCTAATTGAGAGTTCAAGAAGAGAAAAGAAAAATTGTAACCCATTACACATCTGATGGAGATAACTCTACCTCGGACCAGGTCCCTACGTTTGTGAGATGTTGAAAATACAATCTCATCCACTCTTCCTATTAGTGTAGAACACTTCACTTTTCACCACAATATGACATGACAGCTTTACAGTAATGCTCTATTTGTATCTGGACGAAAGCACTCTGCTAGGGACGAGGTCCCCGCATTTGTGGGGATCATCAGAACACCTAGAATATAACATTTTCCCCCTTTTTGATTATAACACACAAATATACCTCCCACTAAGTTTATCATTTATTCCATTGTCAATAGTACCAATAACAAGGATCTAGTTCCTTGTTAAATCTCTAAGTTTGCTAAATCATCAAAACTTAATATTCGCTTCAAACTAACATTTCCCCCCTTATTGATGATAACGAACTTATTTACCAGTTCTTTCTATCAATAAGAACTCTCGGGTTAACTAGAGTTTCATTATCCCCAAAGTTTGTCAAATCATCAAAACATCACAATAAAATTTTCCCCATTTTTTATGATAGACATACATATTCACCAGTTCCCCCTATCAACAAGAACTCTTCGAGTAACTAGAGTTTCATAATCTCCGAAGTTTGTCAAATCATTAAACATCAAAATAACATTTTCTCCCTTTTTGATTATGACAAACATCTTCTTCCCCCTATCGACGGGACTAGTTCCTCTCAGGTAGATAGCATTATTCCCCCTATCGGAATGACTATATCTCTTCAAGTAGCTACCAGTGATTCCCCCTATTGATATGACCATGTCTACTTCCAGCAGCTATAACACGTTTGATCTCATACCTTTCTCAAACAAATTTCCCCCTTTGACATTATAAAAAGGCTTAAAATACTAAACCAAATTGGCAGAAATGCAGTTCAAGCGAATTCATGGCTACTTGTGCAACACTGAGCATGAGTAAAAAATATAAAGTAATGAGACAAGTCAGTAGAAACAAGATATTTTTCATCCATAAATAAAATATCAGCCATCAAAGCATTTGCAAATATAACTGCGAATGAAAACCAAACATTGCCCAAAAAGAGGAAAAGGACTGACAAAGAGAGTTAGGAAGAGAAGGAATGGCTTAGAGGCAAGGGATTGAAAAAATAGAATTAGTAGATCATATCCCTTTGCATAATATTTTCAGAAGCCTCTACTAAATCTCACATTCTTTGTCGCCCTGCCTTTTGTTGAACCTTTAGGCTGCCAATTTTATTCATTTATTTATTTTTGAAAAACTGCACCTTCGTTATCATATTACTTTGAGTTCTCAGAATACCAACTTATACCTTTTTGAACATCATCTTTTCCACTTCATTTTTTTTGGAGAACCAGGTCCCTTTACACATTTACAACTTTTTCATCAGAAAATTATCACG